TTAGGGTTATACATGCATAAGCATTTGTTAATACTCAGCAAATGTACTCCTGACAATCGCAGGTAAATTTTATATCAAAGGAAAATTCTGTAAACATACTGAACTCTAGTTAGTAGTATGCATGCTGAAACACTCAGGGAAAAGCATACTGCTATCCCCGATTTACTTTGCAGATAGGCTGATGGATAGAGAGAGGGATAAGTAGTGGTCAACAGTTACATGATAGAGTGAAATGATATAGATGGTAGATATATGAGAGTTCACTGTAAAAAATTTTTTAACTTTGTACTTTGAAATTTTTCATAATAAAATGTTGGGGGGCAGAGAGTTTAAAAAAATAAAAGTCCCTGGAGGGGTTTCTGAAAATGCCTAGGCTGGAGGTGGTCTTGTGCAGTGAGTGGCTGGGTGCAGGTAGCCAAACCTCTATACTATGTACAAAGGCTGTGGTGGGCCCAGCCACCTTGACAACGTGCACGAATCAGAAAAGTAGAGGACACTATGGACCATCTTTCTGTAACATGAGATATTGCCAAACAAGAGGTAGTACCCTCAGGAAAGTAGCACATTTGTGGTGCAGAGGGGGCAGGGGCTGCCCAGATAAAAGCGACATAAAGACTGAGGGACCACGGGGTTGGGGCAGGAATGGAAGGTAAGGTAGTGGAAGCCATAATAATGGAGGAGGGAACACAGGCCTTTCTCTTGTATGAAATCTAGCTTTGTAATTTATTAGCCCTATGACTTGGGTCACTTACATAAGCCTCCATTTTCTCATTTGCAAAAGGAAATGGCTGTCTCACAGGACCTGTAAGGGTTATATGAGAACCAGTATTTATGGCTCTGGCTATGGTTGGCTCAGCCACTCACACTCATCTACATTTATCCCGTTTTACTGGGCTTGGAGAAATCCAAGTGCAGCTGGGATCACTCTGCTCAGTAGCTTCCTACTGACCAATCCTTATGAGAAGAGGCTGGGAGACGGAGGGCCTACGAGGTAAAACATGTTTTAGCATTTGTGTTAGGCCTCCTTTTCCATTTCCTGTAGATCCTCTGGAGCATAAAGAATCCATTTATGAGGGTAATTTATCCCACCTCCTCATGCCACCCCTTTAGGACATATTCTTCTGGCTATAATAGATGTTGCTCATCCTTCAGGTCTCAGCCAAATGTAATATCCTCAGGGAAGCCACCCTAAGTCTTCCCATTAGAGATTTCACAGCACAATGTATTTCTCCCTTTAAACAGTAAAGGCAGCTGTAATTTGATAATTATTTCTAATTAAGGTCACAGAAGGCAGGAAATTGTCTTGCACACTGTCTCCAGTTCCTAGCACAAAACCCAACAAATGGCAGTTGATCATTAAAAAAAGAACTATCTTTTTAAAAAAAAGAACTGTTTAATTGTCCAGAAATACAGGACACAGTTAAATGAATTATAGCACATTCATAAAATGAAATATTTATGGCCATTTAAAATTGTAGTCTAATAAGTTAGATAGACATACATATATTGTAGATATTTGTACACAAAAAAAGATATAACTAAAGACACCAAAATGTTAGCAAGGATTATATCTGGATGGCAGGGTGATCTTTACTTTCTTCTTTACACTTTTATTACATTTTACAAACTTTCTACAATAAACACAAATTATATTTATAGTAAAATTTATTTTTAAAGGGAATAATTCCTTCACTCAACAGTTCTTTATTCTGAGGAGTCAGAGATGCTAATAAAGATTATGTACATACAAGGATATTCCTGATAACATTAGAGAACAAAAAGTATATAAAACAATTTACATATAGAAGAATAAGTTATAGCCCATCCACACTCTGAAAAACATCTAGCAGTTTTCAAAAATGATGTTGTATATGAATGTTTAATAACATTTTAAAAATACTCAGAGTAAAGAAACAGAAGGAATTATAACCACGCCCTGAAATATGCCTATTTGGGTATAAAATTTCAGTTTTATGAGTTCTTTTGGGCATCTCTCCTTTAGCCCTAATTTGCCTCTTCAAATTTGCCAAGACCAATTAGGATTTGAGGGCCTCCTACAAGCATGATGGAGCTCAGGTGAAGGCTTTGGTGAGTCCACTGCACTTCGTGAGGTTGGTTCCTGACCCAAGTCAGTTCTCCTACAGTCCTACAGTTTGCTGGTTTAGTCTGGCCTTACTTAATCTTATGCATCTTTTGCATTATGATTTCTTTTGTTTTTTTACTGTTTTTTTTCCTCCTTATCTCCTTTAGTAATTCAACTTTAGAGGTACCAAATATCTTAGGAAACCCTTGTGAGTGGTTTAGATACCCAAGAGTCACAAAAACACTGAATGTAGGCTGGTAGAAAACCACATTATAAAGCCATGTTACACAGTAATCAATGCAAGCACACTGGCCTGTTATATCATGTTATGATAATTAATTTCAACTGTGTCCATTTTAACAGAATAAAAGGGTATTAATTCAGGGACTAGAGAAGCAATTTTTTTCCACTGAAACTGAAAATTCCAAGAAATTTCACATATTACCTATAAGGCAGGGTGACTCTATCAAAATATTCGTATCTATTCAATTACACCTCAATAAAACTAGGGAAAATACAAATAAATCATAATACAAAAGAGGCAGAATTAATTTATGACATTAACAGTCAGAATAGTGGTTACTATTAGGTGGGAGACAGGAGGTAGTGAATGAGACAAGGCATTGGGAGTTTCAGGCGTGATAGCAATGTTCTATTTCTTAACCTGGGTAATACTCACTTTGTGATACTATATAGAGCAGTAGTTATGATCTGTGCACTTATCTGTATATGTTATACTTCAATAAAAAAGCTTTTGAAAGGCTTTAAAAAATATTCATATTTACCTTTCAGTGGTAGAGGACTATTTTTTCAATTTAATGATAACCGTACATAAAATGTTGGTTGCCTACCTATCATTTCCCTCATTTTTCCCAGCCAAGTTTCCAACATGGACCTCTCTAAAGTTCTCTGATTATACATCTTGATGCTTTGCCCAGATACACAAGAGATCTGAGCAAGGAAGAGCCAAATGACGAGCAAGGGACAAGACTGAAAGAATTTAAAGAAGCACTGTCATGTACAATACCACATTATGACCCCAAGAAGTAAGTTTCATTCTCATCACTCCAAGTTACAAATAAATAAACTAAAATTTGGAGTTAAATGAGTCACCTAAAGGGGCAGATCCTAAAACTGAACCTTTGTCTCTTCACTCAGTACACTATTTTGTCTACAGCGCAAACAATAATCTGTTCTTTGTTAAAATCAGATGCAGAGACCAAATCTTATAGTTTTGCTCACATTTAGTAAATGAGTATGTACAGACTAAATTTTAAAAACATGAAAATACATGGTTCAAAATCAATATTCTGTTATTAATACAATTATTTTTGCTAGAGTATAATATCCAACCAAAGTATGGGAAGCTACTTTTTTCAAACTCCCAGATCATATTAGTGGTATTAACAGGTTATGGATTAATAAGCACCAAATAAATAACAGTTTGCCATTTTGGAAGTTGGTATTTTAGAAATTTTTATTAATTCTCATTAATATTCACAATCCTGAAAGTAGAACATATCTCTAGTACTCAATATTTAGTGCTGATAGAGGAAAATGAAAATTAATCGTTACTGCTGTTTTATTAGTAATAATAACAATAATGATATGCCCTAAATTCTATTTGAAGCAAGCTTAGTCTTCATTTTTTGTGTTTAGAAGAAAGGCAGTTTTCTACATTTCTAATTGACCATAATATCCTCCTTACTACTGCACCAACCTGGTAGTTACAAGATGCAAATCAAGTACTACGTACTCTACATTCCAAAGTTCACTCTGAGCCTTGATTTCTTCAAGTGTAAATCAGGGAACAATTAATAGTGGTTTAAAGACCAAAAAGGACTGCTGCAAAGTTGGTTGATTATAACAGCCTCAGGCTTTGTCCAAGACAAAACAAGAGTTCTGAGCAAGGAAGAGACAACCCATCAGTAAGACACAAAGAAACACACACACACCCCGCACACGCACTCCTGTGAGCTTCTGTCAAGTGCTTAAGCGAGAAGGAAGTGGCTAATTCTCTTCAAAACCCACAAGAGATTCTTTAGCATTTCCTAAAAGCAAATGCAACTGACCACCGAAGAGGCCTCCAAGGGTTGTGACGTTCGTTCCTTTTGTCAATGCGGCTGTAGACCCTTCTTTCCCATTTGCCAGCTCACGTCTAAGACTACACAGAAATGCTCTTGACTGTTTGCAACCCGCTGCGGCCCCAAGTGCAACAACAGTAAAAGGTTCTTTCAATATGTTGGTAAGAAGTCCCAACTAGAGACATCTACTAACCCCGTTATGGCAAGGGCATACACGACTGTATCTTAATGATACTGCAACGAAAACCCATCACCCCTACCAAAATAACAAAGGTAATAACGAAGGGTGTGTTCCAACGTCACACTGTTATAGTGACCTGAGGTCGCGTCTCTTCGACCTTGTCCAGATTTTACACCGAAACCTCCCGCAAGCCTGAGAGCGAAAGAGACTTGGACAGTTAACAATTCTGCGCCCGGCTTCCGGGAACTCTGGCGGAGGTTTCTATAACTGGGTAACATTTCCTCTTTTCTTTTGTCCTCCAAATTCGCTTTAAAACAAAATGAAGGCAGGCTCCTTTGGCTGACAGATATCCGGGATTTTAAAACTGAGTACAAGACCCCGACAGCCGCGGGGCGTCCGCTGTCCTAGTCCGCCCAAGCAGGTGCAGGAAAATTGGATCCACCACCCGATTTCCGGGAATACGGGGGACTTACCCGCAGCCCGACTTCCGGGAATGCCGAGGGCCCCACCCACCGCCCACCCGGCCCACTCTCCGCCGGACTTGAGGAAAGCCGTGGCCCGCCCACCGCCCGATCAGGAAGCCCGGTCCCCTGGAAGCAGGCCGAGTCCCGCGAATCGGGCGGGCGCTACCACTGCCTCCGCGCAGACGCACCCGAGTTATTTACTTTCGTTTCCGCGGCAAACTTCCCGAGGCCGGACTGAGAGAAGCAGCGGTGGGCAAGTCAGGAGTTACTCCGACTTCGCGGCCGCCTCGCTGGGGTGGGCTGGGGGAGGACGCCCGAGTCCGGCGGGGGTGGTCACCGAGGACAGAGCTCAGCGGGCTTGGGAGCCGGGACACAGAGTGGCCGCCGCGCCCCTCGCTCACCGCGCCCAGCTCTGTGGGCCCCGCCGTGCCGCGCGCGTCCAGCTGATTGGTTCGCGCTCCCTCGTCTCACTGGCACAGCGCGGTTGGTTCCTGGAAGTGCGGGCCGGGCAGGACCCCTGCGCTCGGGGAGACCTGTCCGGTGTCCGCGCCGACAAAGCGACGAATGATTAAGCGGGGGCGGGCGGAGGGGCGTGGACTGCTCGCTCCGCCTCCTTCCTGGGAGGAGGATAGGGAGAGCCTTCCTGCCCTGCGGTCGGGGCCTCGTACCCTCAGATCTGTCAGCCAAAGGATCCCTTTTTTACTTATTTGAAATTGAGTAGGGAGGCCAAAGAAAAGGAAATGACACCTAGTCCTAGAAACCTCCGCCCTGCGGGAGAGGCTACCTGGCTGAGTGAACAGCACCGGGTAGGTTTCCCAGGGGATTCTGAGCTCTGCGTGCTAAGCACTGCTTGAACCTCAGGCAAATTACCATTCTCTTACCTCTCTTCACCTGTAAAGTGGGGGTAATAAAGCCTACTGTGAGAGGAAGAAATGCGATATTATTTTGCAGCCCTTTAAAATGGTGACTGGGAAGTCTTCAAGAAAAATGGAAATGCTTGGTATAGTGCTATATTGAAATTATACACAGCATGATTACATATTATAAAAGGTATATAGTCAAGAGAATGAGAAGCCACATACTGGAAGAAAATATTTGCAAAAGACATATCTGATAAAGGACTTATCCAAAATACATTTGACCCTTAAAAAGTGGGTTTGTACTGCGTGGGTCTACTTATAGGAGTATTTTTTAAATCTTTGTTTAGGTGGACCCAGGCACAGTTCAAACCTGCCTTGTTCAAGGGTCAACTGTATTTTCATGTTTGGAAGGCTGATTTAAGTTATACCCAGATGTTGGACTGCATAGGTTGTGGGCGCCACACCCCCCCTCCCCACCTCTTGTTCAAGGGTCAACTGCATGTTAAAAACTTACTCAACAATTAAGAAAAGGAACAACCCAATTAGAAAATAGGAAAAAGATCTAATAAACATCTGACGATACAGATGGCAAGTAAGCATATGAAAATATGCTCACCGTTATAGGTTATTAGGAAATTGCAAATTTGAAAAAAACAATAGGATACCAAGTTACACAGCTGTTAGAATGACTAAAATCCAAAATACAACATGAAATGTTGGTGAGGATGTGGAACAATAGGAATTTTCATTCATTGTTGGTGTGAATGCAAATTGGCACAGCCACTTTGGAAGAAAATTTGACAGTTTTATTTTTTAAGCTAAAAACAGTCTATCGTATGATCCAGCAACCACATGTCTTGGTATTCACCAAATGAGTCGAAAGCTTACGTCTACACAAAAACCTGCACATAAATGTTTATTGCACCTTTATTTCTAATTGCCAAAACTTGAATGCAACCAATATTGTCCTTCCGTGGATGAATGGGCAAAAAACTTGTGATCCACCCATACTATGGAATATTATTCAGTGCTAAGAAGAAATGTGCTATCAAACCACAAAAAGACATGGAGGAACCTTAAATGCTTATTTTTAAGTGAAGGAAGGCAATCTAAAAAAGCTACATAATATATGATTCCAACTGACATTCTAGAGAAGGTCAAATTATGGAAACAAAAAAAATGTTCTCTGGTTTGTGGGGAGGGATGGATGAATAATAGGTGGAGCATGGATTTTTAGGGCAGTGAAATTATTCTGTGTGATACTATAATGGTGGATACATTACACATTTGTTAAACCCATAAATGTACAAAAGAGTGAAACCAAATGTAAACTATGGAATTTGCTTGATAATGATGTGTCAGTTGATTAATTATAACAAAGGTACCACACTGGTGCAAGATGGTGGAAGAGGCTGTTTGTTTGTTTGTTTGGTTGTTTGGTTGGTTGGATTTTTTTGGGGGTAGAATATGTGGGAACACACTGCTCTTTCCACTCAGTTTTGCTGTGAAACTAAAACTGCTGTAAACAATAAAATTGTGTAGTATGTTAGTGGTGAGTGCTAAGAGAAAAAAGCACCAAAGTTGGATAGGAGATGTGCATGTATGTGTGGGTAATATATCACAATTTTATATGGAGTGGCCAGGAAAGATCTCACTGTAAAGGTGATATTTGAATAAATAGCTAAAGGAAGTGAGGAAGGAAGCCATGAGGATATCTTGGGGACAAGCATACTAAGCACCAAAAGGGAAGAGCAAGGGCAAAGGCTCAGAGATGGGAGCAAAAGGAAGAGATACCTGTGGAAGAAACAAGACAAAAAGTAGTAATAGAGAGTAAGGTCAGAAAGGTAAGGCAAGGAGAAGGGGAGTTTAGGTGACAACTTACAGGTGATTTTAAGAAGTTTGTCTTGTATTCTAAGTGAATTGAGTCATTGGAGGGTTTTTGTGCAGAAGTGAAGAATGCTCTAAATTATAATAGAATCGCTTTGGCTGCTGAGTTGAAAATATACTGCAAAGGAACAAGAGCAAAGCAGGAAGACAAGTTTGGAGATGATTGCAGTAATGCAGACAGGATGAGGATGGCTGGAAAGAGAGTGAGCAATAGAAGTAAAGAGAAATTGTGAGATTCTGAATAAAATATGAAGGTGGATTAGCTTAGAGATCAGAAACAGGGTGTGGGAAATAGCTGGAAGGTTTTTATCCTGAGTATAATTTGAAGCATGGAGTTGCTGTATACTAAATGGGAAATAATAGTGTGAACAGCAGGTTTGTGTAAAATATCAGAAGCTGTGTTTAAACATGTTAATTTGAGGTGCCATTAAACATCCAGCTGGAGATGTCAAGTAGGCAGGTGGATATATGAGTATGGAGTTCAAGGAAGGGGTCCACGTTGAAAATATAAATTAGAATGTTATCAATACATGGATGATACCATGGATGGTAACTAAAGCTACGAGGCAAGATTATGAAGGGAGTGAATGTAGATAGAAAAGAGGTCTGAGTGGGGCTGGCCGAGTGGCGCAGTTGGTTAGAGCGTATTCTCTGAACAACAAGGTTGCCGGTTCCACTCCCGCATGGGATGGTGGGCTGCGTCCCCACCCTACCCCCTCACCCCCACCCCTGCAACTAGATTGAAAGTGGCGACTGGACTTGGAGCTGAGCTTGCGCCCTCCACAACTGGGATTGAAGGACAACAACTTGACTTGGAGCTGATGGGTCCTAGAAAAACACAATGTTCCCCTTCCCCAATTCCCCAACACTGTTCCCCTCCCCAATTCCCTAATAACATCTTAAAAAAAGAGAGAGAGAGGTCTGAGGAATGAGCCCTGGGGTCCTACAATATTTAGAAGTTGTTGAGATGAAGAGCAGCCACCAGGAAAATAGGGGGAAACCAGGTCATGGGGGATCCTTAGGAGAGTGTCTAGTTATGCCAAATGCTGCTAATATATCAAGAAAGATGTGGACTAAGAATTCACCATTGGATTTGATAGCATGGAAACTGTCAAAGACCACAATAATGTAAGTTTAGTGGTATAGTAGTAGCAAAAGCATGTTTGGAGTAGGTTCAAGAAAAAGTTGGAGGAGACAGGGAGAAAACTGAGAGACTGAGTATAGTTAGGCCTTTAAAGGAATTTTTCATAAAAGGAAATGAGATAAATAGAGCAAAATCTGGAGATGGAAGTGGAGTACAGAAATTATTAAGATCCCATATTTATTCTAAGACACTTTACAGTTTACTGGAAAGGCAATTGTTCTATAAAAATGGAAATGTTATTTAATAAGAGTGATGATAGAGGTATGTGCCAGGTGCTATAACAACAAGAAAAGGTTCTACTTGAGAGGATAATAATTAGACTCAAAAGGAAGAGAACCAAGAAAAGCTTCACAATGGAAGTCACTCGGGTTGACTCTTAGAAGTATGAGTAGAGAAATTCCTATTCTGGTTTTGATAGACCCTACAAAATTAATCCTTCTATCGAAAAGAATAATGGAATATGTACAAAATATGTAAAATGGCTGAAGACATTGGAAAGCAACTAACACAAGGAGGACTCAAGAGGCTACTGTCCTTGAGAAGAAGAAAAAAATGTGAAGTGATCTCCATATTCACTCATTTATCACAGCTTTTTCTCTGAGGGCATTTCTAATTCTGTGCAAAGGATAGTAGAACCCAAGCAGAAAGGAGCAGTCCCACTGGTTGAGGAGGGCAGAGTTTGGAACCTGAAAAGCAAAATCTCAGAAAGGAGGGAAGTAAAGAGAAGTACCTCCAAAATTGCCCATTGAAATTGCACTCCAGTGATTGGCTGATGGTGATTGGCAGACTCCAAAACACCTAGCAGGCAAAAGCAGATCAGAGGCTAAAAAGCTGATCAGAATTTCCAGTAGCTTCATAATATGTTGGAGTTCAAGCCCTGCTAAGCTGGAGAGGCCCTGGAAAACATCCTAGGCTTTATATTTGATATCTCAAAGAAGGGACAGACCCTATGAGTCAGGACCATGTCTGTCTTAGCCTGCTCAGTCTACCATAACAAAATACTGTATAGACTGGGTAGCTGAAACAACACATTTATTTTCTCACTGTTTTCGAGGCTGTAAGTTAGAGATCAGGATGCCAGCATAGTTGGTTTCTTGTTAGGCCTCACCTCCTGGCTTGTAGGTAGTCGCCATCTCACTTTATGCTCACATGACTGCTTCTTTGTGCATGTCTGGAGAGAAGCAAGCTCTATGGTGTCTCTTCTTATAAGGGCACACATTTCATCATGAGGGTTCCATCCTCATGACCTCATCTAAACCTAATTGCCTGCTAATGACCCCATCTATAAATGCCATCACACTGGGGTGTTAAGGTTTCAACATAAGAATTTGGGGTGAGGGACACAATTCAGTCCATAGCAATGCCCTAGAAATAAGAACATAAAGACAAAATTGAAATAACACAGCTCTAACAGCCCAGCTCTAACCCACCTAAAACAGAACCACAGTAATTTGATAGTAAACTATCTGCTTGTCAGAGGAAACTTAACCCTTTTTGAAGGTAGACAACATCATTCTGCACCTCTACATTTTCTTGTAATGTCTGACATTCAATAAAAAACATATGAAACATGCTAAACATAGTAGGAATTATTTTTTTTTAAGAAAAGACAAGAGAAATAGTACCACAGCTGATTCAGTTATTGAGTAATCAGACAGGGACTTAATTTTGATAACAATTTTAAA